CAAAATGGGATATCGCACCTGATCACCTGTGTCTGGTGGATAGAAAAAATGATATACCTTTGAGGATGACGAATCGGATTATTTGTGGACTGGTTTTAGCATTTATATTTGGAATGGCGGATTTGACGGCATGAGGCGAATTGTGTGAGGGTTCATAGGGAAGTGTGCTGCTTAGTAATCATTTTCAGGAAGGGCATTTTTCATGTTTAGTATATTGAAATTTTGTTTTTCTTGAACTAAAGGTTTGAAAATATGTCGAATATGTTCCCTCGACTTTGATGTTGAATGATTATAATATTTGATCGGGTGAATCCTTATTTTTCTCAAAAGTATGTTAAAAACAAATTGCAGAATATTCAAAAGATTGAAATGTCGATGAGGGTAGTGTGTATGGTTAATAGGCATTGTTACGACATCCAATTATCTTTGTGTTTTGGTTGGTTGGATCAAATGTAACGCGTATTATATGGAATGATGGTAATATTTTATGCTCGTGTCACGATTGGCAGAAGGGTTCAATGAATTATATTGATCGTCCGGCCAGGTTCAACGAGGTAATAATGCATATAAAATAGATAGATATCAGAAACAAAGGTCGATTGGATGTCGAATAAATCATANTTTTCTATTTTGTCCATGTTTTTCATGTGCGTATATAAACTCTTGTTTTGTAAAAGAATAAACAGAGAGAATAAAACACACACACACACGTTAACTGTGTTCGTCGCTCTTTGTGAGCGCGGACGTTAACACTCATAAATATGAAAATTTCTGAACAAATCATACATGATTTCAGAACTTCAGTCTTCCATATAATAAAGACGCTCAAACATCCAAATTTATTAGCACAATTCATAAAGGAAGGTCTATTTATATTTCTAAAAAACACAAAAAAAAATAAAGTCAATCGATTTGAGTCACCTTTTTCTAAAAATTTCCCTACTTTAAATTCAAAAAAAACTTAACTTGACTTTAACTTTTCATTTAAAAACAATTTTTTTTAAATTTAAATGTGCTGCCTCTAAATAATGATATCCTCAGAACACTCTAATGTTATAAAATTTAATACAATTATTTTTATTTACTGATCGCATCACCGAAAATCTAAAACTCATTTCAAAACTTTTCCAAGCCACTTCATCCAGTGATCGAGCAGCTTTGCAAATCACAGAAAATAGTCGCAAAAAATACTGAATGAGTCGTAAACTCCAAATAGCAGCGAATTTTGCCTTTATTTCTTGTTTGACTGCGATCAAATTGCGACGCAGCCGTTAAAAAAGTGGCGACATGGGTTATAGAATTAAATTATTTGTTCCTTTGTAGTGCGTCTTCTGTTCATCATGTAGATCTAATAATTCCATATTAGAGCATACATTTACATGATTAATTATATAACATTCCAAACTACATCACTTAATTCAATCAATGTATCTTCTCGTTTATATGCGACGAATTGATCGGTCACCGATAACAAATAAAAAAAAGTTCACCGGGCTCATCGAAAACAATTAAACATTCAGCTTCTAATCCAAGTCTCTGTTAACAACAAAATTTTAAATTAATTTTCGATACATAACTAGTTAAATCACGAAAAAACTAACTGATATTGATAGTAAATATTTTCTAATTAATTTAATTAATTTATTAATTGATTTATTTTCTTAGATACACATGATAATCTTTTTTGAAAAAGAAAATACTTAAGTAGTATTAGATTTCTTTATAAAAAAATCCTCATCAACAAACAACAATAGGATCAATTCATTGACATGTTAGTTCGATATTTGGTGATTCAAAACCTGAAGATTATTATTGTGAACCACAACAAATTACCGATGATACACTTGGTAAACTTCAATCTATTCTTTAAATAGTTGAATATATTTTAATCTAGGTCTTGCACAAGTTTACTAACAGACTTAATCTGTTTTTATTAAGGTACGTGTAATTCAAAAATCGAGTAGAATTTTTTTGTTGATATTTTTATATGATTGGATAGAGCTCGTTGACTTCTACAAACTGTATATATTAAAAAAATTATAATTCTTTTTTCGGGAATGAAATTTCAGCAGCTACCGGAACTTATTTTATTGGAATTTATTTGGATTGTTGAGATATATCCAATGACTTATTTCTGAATTGAAACATATTCTAGTTTCTCAATGAATATAGATCTATGTTTCTTGGTTGGGACTTATTTCGAGTGTTGATATACAGTGAAGTGCAAAAACATTTGCCGCTGTACTTACGTATTTTCTTGAGTCATATCTGTGAAGCGCATGAACGGATTCTTCTGAAACTTTTATCATTAATCAAGGATGTGCTATAGATTTTAATCAGAACACGACTTCTCAAAAAGTGCCGTTCGGTAGAGCGAGAGACATCATGATTCGAGTATCCACCGCTTTTCTAGAATATCAAACAGTCATCTTACACTACCACGACTAGGACAATCGTAGCGCTGCGAAAATCGTCTTCTTAAGGAAGAACTATGTCCATAGTATCTAACGAAATGCAAATGAACTCCAACGACACGGCATCGTAAAAACAAACGGAGGATCATGGTGTGTAGAACTACCAAAACAAATGGCGCTCCCATCAGATTTTCAAACTATCTCGACAATGACTTATCTGACCGACTTGAAATTTTCATAGTAGACAAACCTCGACTAGTAGATGAAATTTTGTTCCAAGTGAACGATTCTCAAAATTCATCTTCAGCGTCAAATAGAGGTCAAAAGTTGAGAAGATGGTGTTGCATTTCTTTTCCACTTTAAAAATCTAGAAGACATCGTATCGAGCTGAATCTTCGACTACAGGATCTTGATCCAAAACGAGGTTTATAGCTTCTTTCACTCTTCTCCAAACACATCTTTTAGACTAGAACACAATCCATGTACCTAGGAAAAACGATCCTAGGTTATTTGAGTGTATCGATGAAGCTATAGTGTTTACTGCTTTTTTTGGCTGAAGGGAAAAAGAGCTAACTATTGATTATTATATTTGTGTACTCTTGTGTATGTATAATCTATTTATAAAAAAACTTTCAATATTCATCATGTTCAGTAGAGTAACTTTATCAAACACTAACGGCAATTATTCTTGCACTCCACTGTATATCCCGGGACTTATTTCTTTATTGAGAATGATTCGAGTTTCTAAATGAATCCAGATATTTGTTTGTTTGATAGAACAAATTTCGAGTGTTGGGATAGATCGCGGGACTGGTTTCTTTATTGTTACTTATTGTAATATCTCAATGAGTCAATATATTTATTCGTTGTGTAGGATGTATTTCGAGTGTTGAGGTAGATCCCGAGGCTTAGATCTGTATTGAGACTTATTGTAGATTCTCACTAAATGCAGACATTTTTTTTCTTTTTCAGGACTTATTTTGATTGATTACGTGTATTTGTATAGATTATTCTGTGAAGTGTGATTATATGCTACATAAGTCGTCAAGGAAAAGAATTGGTGCGTTTAGTAATGATTTGATATTAGAGGATTGGTAGAATAAATATCTTCTAAATAGACGTAGCGAGAGAGTTATGGAGGTGTGTGTGCAGGATTTTTTTTTTGGAATCGTAGCTTGGATCTTTATATAATTTGTTAACCATACTTATGGGGTCCAAAAGTTCTGACAATTCGACATAAATTGAAAAAAATAAACAGATTTTTTTAATTTAATTTTATTAAATTTTCAAGACAACTGAAACATACTACTTATGAAAAGTTCAATAAGTTCTAATGAGTTGCTAAAAGTACTTTGGAAAATATTCTGAATAATATTTTTAACCCACTGGGAAAAACCTATAGTGTTAATGCTGCTTGATCTATTCAATCAGCGGAATTGTATATGATATAATAAATTATCCAAAAGTACAACAAAATTAGGTTTAAAGTGTATAGATACCAAATTTAACCGTATATTGACATGTTTTTCTATTATATGATTAGCAAAATTCGAATGATTTTAAGTTCGAATAATGTCGTCAGACTTCTTTATACTTATTGAACTTCACAGTTTTTTCACTTCGATACTTGATTATCGAAAGGGCCGCGACAGTTTTTCAATAAAACAATGAATCTAGATAGTCTTGTCGTCATCTGCCCTATGCTTAAGACGAGTATGATCTAATTTAAAGACTATGAAAATCGAAGTTCTAGTTTGAAACTATCTTTCTGAACACTATTTTTTGACAAATTCTATCTGTATCAAGCTATCACAACACGATCAATCACTATGACGAGTGAAATATTACTACTCGTATATCTGTCACTACTGACATCTATCGTATGAATAACTGTTTCGTAATATGATTTATTCGACATCCAATCGACCTTTGTTCCTGGTATCTTATAGATTATTATTTTCATTGAAATTATTTCATAATAGAAAGCAATGTCTTCATCTTCAACACATGAATTGATTGCAACAATTCTTGCTAAACCAAATAAAACGTCAAATGATTTACAAGAAATAATTAATAAATGGCATGATGATTTATTAAAAAATGAAGATTATCTTCTTCAATATGCTCATCAATTAAATCAAAAACAACAATCACTCAATAAAACAACTGAATCATTTATTCAAACTCAAAATTTATTAATAAATCTCGAAGAAAATTTAGAACAATTTCAATTATCAATTCAATCATTAACAAAATATAATGATGAATTAGAAAATAATATTGAACAATTAAATAATGAAAGTAAAAATCTTTTACCAAATCTTTTATCAAATCATAAAATAGAGCACGATCGTTCAATAACTAATGAACTTATGGAATCAGTTGATAATCAATTAAATGAACTTGATGAAACAATGAAACACCTCAATGAAAAACTTCAAATAAATACAGATAGTTCAATTATAAATACAGTAGATGATTTAGAAACATGTTTTCATGATATTCATAATATTCAAGAATCTATGAAACAAATCAAATTATAAAATAAATAAAACAAACATTACTATTTTTCTCTTTATATTCTAGATGAGTTTTTTTACTACACCTACCACTACAACAACACCATCGATTATTCCAATAACAACAACATCAGCACCAGGAGCAACAACAACAACAACTAAACCATTAACACGTACATATCGTGATTTTGAACGTTTATTAACAAAATGGCAAACTGATTTTGATACAAAACATCGTTTATCATATGAAAATTTATCACAATCAGTTCGACAACGTGATATTGATTTATCAACATATCGTGAAACATTACAATTAATACAACGTGATATAAATCATATGCAATTACAACAAAATCATTTACAAGATGAATTAAAATTATTAGGTACACATGAAAAAGAATTAGAAACAAATATAATACGTTTAGAAAATGATATTTTACAATTACCACCATTACAAAATGATGTTTATTCAATTCAACAACAAAATTTATATTTATATCAAAATTTACCATTAACATTTAATGAACGTATGAAAACTTTTCAAGTAATGGAACAATTAGATTCATTAGTTAAATGTTCAACAAAAGATTTACAAGAAATTGTTGATAAAATGAATGAACAAGATGATGATAATGATACAGACTTGACAACAAATCAAAATCTTGATGCAACACTTGTTAATGAACAAAATATAAAACAATTAACAAAAACACTAGATTCATGTTTTAAAATGTTAGCTTTTATTGATACTAATGTTACAGATATTGAAAATAAAGTTACACAAACAACACAACGTTTACTTAATTCATAAACTTAATTATCTTTTTCTTTCATGTTTAAATAAATTTTTGTTTGTTTCAATAACGATCTGTTTCTTTGTTCAAAAAAAAAAACCAACATTCTCATTACATACTAGAAATATCTGTATTGATATCTTGTTCTTTAGATTGTTATTGGTTCCGTATAGTCGTCATTAAAGAGCTTTGCAAGTTATATGTGCAACGTATGTACTTTTTTATTCATCTTTTTTTTCATTTCATATGAATTTCGTGACATCATTTCAATATACTCTAAACAGGACAAAGTCTAATAAAAAAAAAAAAGTGATATCATCATGTTTTCTTTCAATCTTAAAGTGGTGCCAATCATATATAAATTTAAAAAAACATAGATAAAGAAAATTTAATAAGAATAAGAATTGGATAAAACAAGAAATTCACTCTGTTTCAATTACTATAATACATACATATATAAAATAATGTGACTATACTTAAGATATCTTGGTACTGTAAATAATAATATGCATCTCAGCCGAACAGTTTTCAAGCTTTCAAAGCACTTTGAATATTATGCAAAATTTCAGCCAACACCAGTAACACTTAAAAGTCTTATTGATTTTGGTATGTTTAAGAAAGTTAGAAAAGAAAAAATTTTATTATTAGTTTCTATTTGTAGCCGTTGATGGTGACATAAAAGATTCATACAAATTTTTACGTGTTGAATTACTCGTTCGATGGTCTCACATGCGCAAAGAAATGAATTATATACCGGCGAGGTATGATTGAAATGAAGTGAAATAAATAAATAAAATCTATATTTAATTCATAGATTACTTGAAATGCCAAGTTTGAAACATGTAAATTCATTGTATGATCAAAGTTTTTCAGAAATTCTTGCATTTAAAAATGTTGAACCAACTGCAACAACACTTCGCAAGTACTTTGTGTTAAATTGTTGTTTTTGTTCTATAAAAGAATTAATCTGTTTTTTTTTGTTTTTCTGTTAACATAATGTAGTTTTACAGAAACATTAGTTGGTATTCAACGTCGACATGCGGATGTAGTTCCAACTTTCGCACGAGTTAGTAAAAGAATATCTATTTAGAATTCAATAATTTCAAGACTTTAGGCCTATATGGAAATGGAACAAACGGGTCCAGTTGATTTAATAGAAAAAAATCATTTACAATATTTTTATGATCGAATATTTATGAATCGTATTGGTATTAGAACATTAATTTATCAACATAGTAAATAAAAGTTTTTATTTTTATTGATTCAATTTAGAAGAATCTTATCTCTCTAGCTTTTTTATTTGGTAATGAATTTCCTCAACGTCCACAACAAGTGGGTATCATTGATCCTCATTGTGACGTACTCAGTGTTGTTCAAGGTAAACTTTCGTTTAAAGTTTATATGCAAACTTTATTTTTTTTTTTATTATAAGTTATATATTAGAATAGTGAGAACTTTGAAATAATCTATGATGCAATAATAGTTGCTAAAATATCGATCCATGGTTCTCTACTGAGAAACATCGTCAAAAGAGCTTTTACAACATACTGTTTTGCTTATATTTTGTCTAGAGTTTGAACAAAAAACCTTTTGTTGAAAATTAAATAAAAAAGAAAGTAGTTCTTACAAAACTTTATTGAGTTTTTTACATTTGAGAAAGTTTCTTAGAAATTTTTTTATCAGTAAATAAAACGTATTGCACTTTTTTTTTTGCTTTTATAGAAAGCACTACTTTGCATGGAACAGATAGAATATTGAGAAAAATTCATTATTGAGAACTTCGGCATGTGAGTAAAGATTAAAATTAATTTGAATTTATAGAAATCGCATGCTATTTTGGGAAATGCGTTTTAGAAAGAAAGACGGGAAATTCATTCACTATCTGGAAATTATTGCCTAAGTCAAATGACTTAATGCTTGAAATCAATTAAAAACTTGTAAACTGCGTCCATCGTAAAATGGATTAAAACAAAATTTATCGTATTCCATTTCAAAGAGTGATAAAAATCCTTTTATATAATTTCATACGTAACCTGTTATAAAAAAGAATAAGTCGAAATGACATGAGAGATACGTTTGAAGAGGATAGAAGTTGCAAGAATTCTTTTGGTAATACGTTTGGTATACAGTTTTTTTTCATTTAAAGTTAATCTTAAAAAGCTTTTTTCTATATTTTTGAAGCTCAAACTTTGGTTTTTTTTTCAACATGAAAAAAGATTGAACTCTCTGCGATGTTTCTGAGCGAAAAATTATGTGTTGAGATTTCGGTTATTACTTGTGCATCGCAGGTTATGTGAAAATATTACTTATGTATTTTGAATAACTTTTGATAGAATTAAGATAGAGAACTACAGCTGTTACCATTACAAGGAGAAGATTAAGACGCATCGAATCGTATAGTATGGATTTTTCTAATATGTTTTATGAATGTTCTTTAATTGACTTTCTAAAAAAATATCGGAAAGTGTTTGCTTTTTATCAAAAGGAAAAAGGAATAAAGTGACTTTTTAATTCAAAACAGAAATTGGTAGAAAAATCGATTTCAAATTTCCAGTAGAATACTTATAAACGGTGCCCGTGAATTCTATGTCTCAACGAAAATCATCTTATATGCAAATAAAAAGTGATCGCTACCCAACTATATCTATATGAGCTTTGAGTACTTAGGACGATGTTTTAAATGGCATTCTATCTGATGGCATTATCTCTTTTAATAATCATGGTATAAACAGAAGAAACGTGACAATTAAAATCTTGAAGTCGACCAGCATTTTTTAAGAAGTTTTAATGAACTAGAAATTGATCGTATGTAACGCAACACAGCTATCCAAAGCGATACATAGTATCTATGATATGGGTGTGGCTATTATTTGTAACCACAGCCTAATTATTACGTTTCTTCTTTGTATTTCATTATGATTAAAAGGGATAATGTCATTGGATGACATGCCATGTAAAATATTGTTCTAACTGTTCAGAGCTCATGTAGATATAATTGGATAGATATCACTTGTTGTTTGCATATAAACTAATCTTTGTTGAGATCCACAACTTTATGAGGCATCCTTCATAACTTCTGAATGATAAAATTTAGAAATTCCCTTTAAACATCTCATAAGATAGATTTGCTTTCAAAAAGATCGATTGGAAAATGAAACAGATGAAAACAAAAGTCTGTAATATACAGTTTGATGTGTCTTCGTCTTCTCTTTGTAAAAGTGAAAACTGCAATGATTTATCTTGATTCTGTTAGAAGTTATTCTAAGTATCACCACTCGTTTTTTTTTCTTTGAAAATAGCTTTAGCATTGTCGTCATGTATCATAACAAACAGCTCTTATCGAAGTTTTATTATTATGATATTAGTTGAAGAATCATGAAATTTTGAAAAAATATACAGCACTACATTTATTATCAGTACCTATTGAGAGAATGTTTTCTCTATCATTTTATGCAGTATTGAAAAGTCTCCACCACTTGTTTTTGTATGCTCTAAAGGGTATAAGTTTATCAAGTGGCAATAATCTCAAGGTCGAAAATAGATGAATGCAGCACCTGTGAATCAAGTGTAATCAAATATCTCATTCTTTGTTTTTTATCACAGATAAAAACACAATGTCAAAATATTTTTTTATCTTCATCGTACTTTATCTCCAAGTACATATAAAATTGAGTATTTATGAGTATTCTTTCCCTAGCCAAATAAAAAACAAGGTCACTTTAGAAAAATATTACAAAGATATTGTTTGCAGTTTAAGTATAATTATTGAAAGTTTTCGCCTTGTACAATTCAATTTAAATGTATATCATAAGTTTTTTTTAATCGGTCAAAGTACGTAAATGTTAAGTATTTCATAAAAGTTTCTATAGATGACTACAGCTGTCTATTGATTAAAAAGTCATTTACATATTTGCACATACGGTCCTATTTTTAGAATGACATTTTGGATTGTATTTAATGCCTTTTTCTTTGCATGAATGAAATTTTCAACATATTTGCCAAGTACAAATATTACAAACAATAGGTTTATTTCAATTAAAACAAACTCTTGCCAAGGTGGTAAGTGCAGTATCTGAGCGCCAAATTTTACTACAAAGTGTTGTAATGCTCATACATATTTGAAATTAGAACTGGAAATTAAAGTGTTAGCCATGAGTGAAAGTCATACTGCTTGTATTCGATTCTTTCAATCAAGATAAGGTTATTTTTCGAAAATGGCGATTTTTTAAAATAAAATCTGATTAGAGGCTTTCAGGGTTAAGCAATTCAAATATCGAATTGATTTTTCGAAATTCCTGAGTTCAATTTTTTTCGGTCAGGGAGCCCTATTTTCTGTGGTTTACTCACGTTTTCTAACATTTAGCTATTTATTTGCAATAGATTTTCCCTGACTGAAAAAAAATCGAACTCAAGACTTTCAAAAAACCGATTAGAAATTTGGATTTCTCAATACGAGAAGCTTTCAGTCAAGTTTTATACAAAAATCTTATTTTCGAAAAATAATCTTGTCTTGTTTGAAAAAATCCAATTAAAATAGTATGACTCTCATTTATAGCTATTACCTTAATTTTTAGTCTAATTACAAATACGTATCAGTAGTAAAAGGTGCTGAGGTACTGGGAGTTTCAAACCTGCACTTACTCTCTTACTTTTTGCCCGTTGATTTAAACAAATCTATTAAATCAATAATGGCGTTTCGTTCTAAATTCAATATATCTGTGTTATATTGATACTTATATCTGCAATGTCATTCTTTCTATGTACGCAATAGAAAAACCTTGATGAATAAATATATACAACGACTTAGTCGACATCTTTCTGAACTAATCTATTTATGAAAATATTGAATCTTCATTTAATGAATTTCATTTGAAATTAAATAATTTTCAGATTTATGAAATTTAATTCACTCGTATAAAATTTCCACATCATCATTTTTTTTTAAAGCAATAGAAGATCTCAAGGCTTTCTATGCTACGCATTGAATTACAAAATTGATACATCATATAATTATTCG